GAGGGGGATGTCTTCAGAGACCTCACTGGGCTCTGTGTGGTGAAGGGAGTGCTTCATATTTATGCAGCCCCCACACCCCAGCCTTCCCCCCACTCCTGGTGGGTTTTGAGTATTCTTTTTAAAGTGTCAAGCTGAATATTTAAACACTGTTTAAATTCTATAATTTACAGGCAAATCTTCAAAAGAGTTCAGTCATCTCTTGGTGCTGAGAGTGTCTCTGCAGCAGCCCCCACTGCTGTGCTTTGGGGTCAGACTCAAAGGGTCAAGTAAAAGACTTAAAATTACAAAGTTTGTGGTCAAAATTAGATATTTTGTCTTTGCTTTAGGATATTTTTAAGTTCATTTACTGCTTTTATTACCACATCTCTCAAGTGCCCCGGTGGTGTCCAGGAGGTGGCAGTGGAAGAGCATCCATCACTCCACAAGCACGGGGATCTCTGGGCTCACCAAGGGCAGAATCAGGGAGTGCTGTACATCACAGCACAGCAAACAGATGCATTTTGGGGTGTTTTAAGAGGTACCCCCTGTCTGTGATGCCCCAGGTGCCAGAATCTGTGGCTGCACAGTTAATAGCCTGGAAATGTGTAAGGAAATTTGTTCACTTGAAAGCCAGGAGGAAAAAAGGGGACAGTAAATCCATGGGAAAGAAATCTGAAACTTTTTTAGAAAGAACATAACTGTGGACAACATTTTAGGACTGTGGGAGAAATGGGAGGCCTCGATTAAGTGAAATTTCAAATTCTTCATGCACCCACAAATATTTTTTATCAATTTTCATTACTTATTTTCTGTATTTATTTTCCCAAGAGGTTAGGAAAGGCTTTTTTACTCTGTTGCAATAGGCTGCTTTATGGGTATCAGATCCTTACTTTAATCACTGTCTTGCATATATGGACTTTGCCTGGCTTCATGTAATTGCATCTCCTGATGACACCACAGCCTTGGGAAACTTGTTTAATGAGCTGAACCCTCTCTAAAGCATTCCCATCCACCCCAGCCTGCAGCAACCCTGTCAGTTTTTGACAGGGGGGTCCTGTGTGTGTTTAAAGGCTCTGCCTGCTGGGCTGGGGGCAACTGATGGTGGTGGAAGGGCACTGGGCTCATCAGAGGCTGAGTTCTGCTGGGAAATGGGATGTGAGGGATGCTGGGGGTAGAGAACACAGGTTTTGTTTCTCTAATGAAGAAAGAATTAGTGAGAAAACAGCTGACTAAAAGGTTCCAGGGAAACAAGGAATAATTTACAAGAATACTTTGGTGAATAAAGACCCAGCCACTTTATCAAATGTTTTAATGCTGAAGGGAAACTGATATTAATTTTTTGTGAAGAAGTGGTGCTTGATAAACCTGCTAGCTCCAATTCAGGATTTAGTTTTAGCTCTGCATTAGGATGATAATTACATGTATTTGGGCTCGGCCTCATGGTTTATGCCACGTGGACTCCAATCTCCCCGAGATGTTAGGAGGAGATATCTCAGATCTGGAATTCTTCCCCTTCCTAGAAACTGGACAAAATGTGTGGAGGGAAGAGCTGCTGCATCCTGAGGGCTTCTCATGTAGAGGGGGAACAAAATGAAGTTTTTCTAATTCCCAAAAGGGACCTTGGGAATATTGTATAACAGGAAAGAGGTTGGAACTTCCCTTGTATTCCATTTTCTCTCTGATAATGTAGCTTAGAGTAATCTGTAGGATTGCCATTTTTGCAACTATTTCTAAATAGGTGAATTATGAATCTCGTGTAGCTCCACATTACCTTTTATCCACCTCACTGAGTCTCAATATTTGAATTAAATTAAATAGCTTCAGATTTAGAAAGCTGTACTGACACTCTTCATTTAGTTTTCATTCACAACTGTTAAAAATTTTAAAACCATTCTTGTGTCAATCCAGCCTTCTCCAAACCCACCTTCCACCCATTTTTAAATACCTCATGTGAGAACTGGAAGAGAAAGTGCTTGCCTAATTATCCCTATTTTGAGCACTGTAAATTAAGCTGTTCATGTGAATAATTTCTTCATTTAGCAATAAGCAAAGAATGTTAAGAACTGTGAAATAATGCAAATTTTGTCAGACACTGTACACAAGGTTTTTGGAGAATAAGAACTGTTTGGAACAGTGCTTTCCACAATGCCTTAAAAGTGAAGAAACCCATATTTTTGTCACTACAGCAAAACACAGGTCTTCAAAATCTTCCTTTCACTTTGTCTGTGTTGTTGTCAGAACTTTGACAGGTGATGATTTGCATTTCCTCTGTCCTCAGTCTGTGACAATTTTCCAACAGGAGGTAATATCAAAGCAATCTAAAATTAGCTGTGACAAGTGACAATTGCATGGGTGGCACAAAAGGCTTTTACAAATAGACATTATTTTATGCAACAGACATTAATACATGTTTTAATGAAGGAGTGATTCACAATGATAATATTATTGACTTGTTAAGATTAAACAGGTCTGCCATATGCTGTCGAGTGCTTCAGATGGTTTCAAATTTTTTTTTTTAAATCTATGCATATTAACAACAGATGTTGAATTTTAAAATGATCCAATAATCGAGGGGAAATCATTCCAAAGCTGAGTGATAATTTGTCATGTAATTATTTGAAATACTTGTATGTATTATATATTGGTTATTTAGCTCATAGCTGGCTCTTGCACATGATATTTTTTGTCATCTTACTTCCTCCAGAATTCCCTCCAGTTGCTGAGGAGTGGGTTAGTTGAACACTTGCCTTGGAACTCCATCCCTAAACTTTCAACTATTTTTATTTTAAAAAATCCTTTCACAAGCACATCTGCCCTCAACTCCTGTGCTTGTGGACTGTACAGAAAGGGGATGTGGGCCTCACCAGAATGCTCCTGCTTTTGCCTGGCTTGCCCCTGTGCACTGAGGGGGTGAGGGGATGGAAGAAAGGTACCACAAAGCAAATACACCGAGGTGACACGCCACAGGTGAGGGACCCTGCTCTCAGAAGGACTGAGTGGCTCCTACACTGATGCAGGAACAGCCCCTGGGTGATTACAGATTTACCCTTTGGCTGGTTATTGTTAGCTTGAAGATCAGAAATTTGGTTTTTTTGCTTTTTTTCTTGCCCTGCCTCCAGGACCCCACGATGGAGCTGGTTCACAGCACAATCTGTTGCTTCTCCTTCCCACTCCCAAGCACAGCAGGTCACAAACTGGAGCTGTGGGTGGTGGCAGCCTGGGACCGTGCACCATGGCTCCTGTGTTGTTTGCTCTCACATTTTCACCTGTCTTGTGGGTGTCATGGGGTAAACAAACACATCTCCCTGTGGCTGGGGAGCTCTAGAAAGAGAGACAGCACCTGGAGCTGCTCAGCCTCCCCAGAGCAGAGCTGTCACCTTTCTGGTGATGCTGCTGGGGAGGAGCTGAGCTGCACTGAGCCATCCCCAGCCCACACCCACCACCAGCTTCTCACAAAGCACAGCATTAAAACCACTCCTGCTGCTGTGGGCCACCAGCTGCCTTTCCAGCATGTTTTCTGGAGACCCAGAGCTGTGCTCAGCAGGAGAGGCAGAGCTCATCTCCACGCTGAAAGCTGCAAGCTTCTCTTTGCAGTCCTCTTGCTGCTGCTTGGCTCCAGTGCCTCATGGAAATGTAGGAATTGTAGGAAACATAGGTGTAGAGATTTTTGGCATCATCTCCTTCTGGATGTTCCCTGCAGAAATTAAAAAGAAAACCAAAACAACCAAACAAAACAAAACCAAAACAAGCCAACAACAACAAAAAACCCAAAACCAATAAACAACAAAACAAAACAAACAAACAAACAAACTAAAACCAACCAACCAAAAAACAAACAAACAAAACCACAGGGAAATCAACATAAGCAAGATACAAAGGATGGAGCTTCAAATAGGTGGCAGTGATCTCAAATTGATTTCCAATGGGCTACACTGTGATAATCAACATAAGCAAGATACAAAGGGTGGAGAGCCCAGTCAGCTTCAAATAGGTGGCAGTGATCTCAAATTGATTTCCAATGGGCTGGAGACATGAATTGGGGAGCTCTTGAGTGTGTGTTTTATTATTTGTATAGATTACTAACTTCATTGGCTTAATTTGACAGAGCAAGCTGTAGAAAGGGAAAGTCAATCCCATCTGCTTCTTGGTGAAGAGAGTAAATTTATAGATCCTAAAGGGGCATAACTCCCAGTGAGATACATGAGCTTCATGCCCTTTACCTCTCACTTTTTACCCTGCAGGGAGGCAGCCTGACTATCAAGTAGTTAGTCCTGAATCGTTTAGGTGGGAAAACACCTCTAAGATCATCAAGTCCAGCACTGCCAAGCCCACCACTAAACCATGTCCCAGGTGCCACATCTTTTAAATCCCTCCAAGGATGATGAGTCCCCCATTGCCCTGGACAAACTGTTCCAATGCCTGACTCACCATTTGGAGAAGAAATAATATCCAATAATATCATAGATAGATAGATAGGAGATATATATATCCTATGCTATATAATAATAACCTAATATCCAATCCCTGTGCAATCCTGTATGGATTCCTAAAAGAGAGAGCACTTAGATATCTTTTTCTTCCCCAGGGAGCAATGAAAAAATGCCAATATTCCTAATTTCAGGTGGCAACAACCTTGAGGGTCCAGCTTCCACTGAATAGTTGATCAATGGCTTCAAAACTGGAGGAGAGTTAGGAGAGCAGGGAGCAGAGAAACAACTAATGCAAAATTTTATTGAGATCAGCCTGGGGAAGCCTGTCTCATTTGGTTATGTCACTACAGAGTAAGAATAGACTTCAAACCTGCTCTTGAGACAGGGATTGTGAAAATGATTTCCGAAGGAAAAGTTCCATTAGTATAGGATGGATACCTCAGATGCATCTGCAGCTCCTCTCTGGGACTTTCAGTGAAGCATCTTCTTGCTGTGGAGGGAAATCAGGTGCAAAGGATCAGTTAGTGATGGTTGTGACCCAAAATGAGGTCACTGAGCATGGGGAGAGTATTTACTTGAGGTAAACACAAAAGTCAGAGCTGCAAGTGTCAGGCCAGGCCAGCTGGAAATCCACACAGCAAATGGTTCAGTTCAGAGCCTCTGTGTCTTGCAGAAAGAAGAGAGAAGAGGATATTCTTCATTTTAGGAAGCCCTTTTCCCTTTAGAAAGCTCTCCCTCTCTCTGTGCCTTCCATGAGGCAGAAATGTTTGCTTTGACCCTTGAGCAACATTTTCTTCAGGGTAAGGAGGAGGAATGTGATTACTTGTTCCCTGAGAAAAGAAAAAGATTGTGAGCAATGAGAGGGGAGGGCTAAATGTAAAAGTTTGTACTACATTTCTTCATGCAGAAATGGCCAAGATGGCAGTGGCTTTACCACCAGCATGTTGTTTTTGTCTTTACCTTCTTCTTGTCTCGTGGGGAGATTGATTGATTGGTGCATTGTACAGTTCTCTTTCACATTTTTTTTATCCCCAGATGCAGGTGTACAATTTTCAGCTTCTGTCACCCTAAACAACTAATTGTAACTCACCTTTGACACCACAACAAGGAATATTTGCTGAATTAAAACTGTACAGAGCAGCTGTTGTCCAACAGGTATGAAAAACCCCAGCTTTCCCCATCCATCTATCAGCTGTGAAAGGCTCACCCTGCTCCTGTGAGTGATGCTCTCATAGCAGGAGCTGCTTTTGCCCCCCAGAAAAACTGACATTCCCCATGGTACAAATGTAACTCTGTGTTTTTTTCAGCCAGGAACAAGGAACATTTATTTAAAGCAATGCATTGCACAGACAAGTTAGTTTTTGGTGACTGTTCTGAGTAGATATCCCTGAGGTGGGGAAAGACCAACTCTACCTGACCCTGACTGAGGTTTTATTGTTTTCCTTTGGCTGCCTGATCTCAACTTTAGTGAGCTTTGGTCACTTTCTGATCTAATTCCTGATCAAACACTGGCTTACTTTTCTATGTGTTTCATGGGTACATTGCCTTTGAATGGCAGCCCCACTCTTGACCACAGGGAGTGGTTTATATTTGATCAAGCATTAGTGTAGTTAATAAGTTTATCAAGTTTTGTGCCCAGCTGCTCTACAAAACAAAAGCATGCCATGATTTCTTAAACTGCAATTAAAAAATATACCACCAAAAATGCCTCAGTGATGAGCTCTGGTCCTTCCAAGAGCTGCAGCAGCTCCCTGGAGAGGGGTGGGAATTAGCAAACACGTTTCACATGACAGCTTCCAATATATTTATTTGAATAACTGGATTACAGAAGTGCATCAACATGCCTCTAAATCTTATTATTGTTTATTACTGTGGATATCAGACAAAACAATAATTAAATTGGGCAGAGATTCTTGGGGCTCAGTTAACAGAATTGAGGCTCATTGAATGTGGCTGTGCTTTGTTCTCTACCCTATGGAACCCCCAGATTTCAAGATCAGGACGGGACCTCCTTTGTGCAGGGAAAGCCTGGAAAAATGGCATTACAGGAGCACTGAGGGGGCTGTGGAGGAGAGAGAAGGAGCTTCAGGAACCCACAGCTGGGGAATGCAGATCTTTTCAAGGTGCATCTGAAAACCTTCTTGTGAGGAGGGCCTGAAACGAGGGCAGGCTCTGAGCTTTCTGCTGCAAATTCACCTCCTGACGGAATCAGGGCATGTACAGGTTAAACCAGCACTTAGATGAGGGTACCAGCTGTGATGGGCATCTCCAGGAGCTGCCAGACCTTGGCACTGCTCTAAGAGCAGCTCCAGAGGCAGCCTGAAGTGAGATTGCATTTGTCAGTGGGAACAATCTGTGCACTGAACAGCCCCTCATTTCTGTCCCAAGGAAAAGCAAATAGAGAGAGAAATCCTTGTTTGCTTCATGCAGCTCTTGGCAGTCACCATCTCCAGTCATTATTGTTCAAGAGAACATGAATAAGTCAAACTGCAGTGATGGTAAATGAAAAATATGATGTGTAAGGAGGAAAAGATCCCAGGACTGCTGTGGTTTAGAAGTCTGGGAAGACTCCACTGAGCTCTGGATCCTTCTGGGTGACAGCACTCTCTATATTTAATGCAGGAAGTTGTAGACATTATGAGCCACCTCAATGTTAATTGACCTTTCCAAGCTGAAAAATTAGCAGTTTGAATTTACTTAATTTCACAGAAGAAAAATCTCTAAAAATCAGGATTTTTGTTATTTGAAGCTGTTTTTTGTGTTGTTGTTTCAGCACTGTCTTCGTGTCCTGCTCTTTAAAAGAGTCCTGAAAATGAGATTGAAAAGCTTTTAAAATTAGGTTGGTTTGTTTGGAAGTGGGTTTTTTGCCTTTTTCGGTGACCTGTTATTCTAGTAACTTACTATATTGAGCTTCAAGGAAAAGCCATTTCCTGAAATTCAGCAAAAGCAAAACATTCTTTAGAAGGTCACTCAAGTCCTTAAACTGAGGCAAGGAAGGCAGGCACACATAATCACAGAGTGAATGCAAGTAATGCCCAATTTAAATGGACCTTCGTCTTTCAGTGCCTCTGTAATCAGCTTTTAATGTCCTCATTAGCAGCAGTAGAACAACTTGAGCAAGTTCGTGAAATGGGATTTCAAATATTTTCCCAGCACTTTTCCCAGGGTGCGCATACAGATGTGGGAGATTTTTTAATCAGATTAATTTTACTGAAACAAGATGAGCAAAATTATTTTCACAAATTCACAGTAGGATTGCATTTACAAACTAAAGCAGCCATCCTCTCTCTTCCCCCTCCCCTCCTGTCCATTTGCACTGCCCCCAGCAGAGACATCTCTGGCCATGTATGCTCAGAGAGATGCCCTTGCTGACCATGGCCAGAGCTGCCCCTGGATTGCGCTGCTTTTTTGGCTGATGGCAGTTCAGTGCCAGGAAGTTTCTCATGCTATCCCCGATTGCAGCTGAGCAGAACTTTGACCTGTGCACTTAACTGTTATACCAGATATTTTCAGGGAGGAAGAAACTAGAAACCATTAGGCTGATTATAGCTTCTAACTCCCTTTGAAAGGTGAATTTCAAAGGAAATTGTTTCTTCCCAAAAAAGGAAGGAGAACACCTGCCCCTCCTTTATGTTTGGCAGCTCTTTCTTTGACTGGCCATGCAATGCTCGTGCTTGGCTCAATATCCATGGCCCCTTCAGACTTCTGTCTCTTGGGCCACCTCCAGGAGGGCAGTGCCAAAGCCTCCAGCTCTCTCTGGAGATCAAAGCTGATGGCAGCATTGCCACATATCAAAATCAGTTCCTCAAGGAATGATGGAATTTATCAAGCACTGATGAGGCTGTGAGGACAACTCAGCTGACTTGCAGTAGGGTCAGCAAAATGGGGCTGTGTGAGAACAAATTTTTGGCCCTGACCACAGGAATGCTGTGAGTCCTCTACCCTAGAGCCTGTGCTAAGGAATGGACTCTGGGTCGACACACAGGTTTAATTTTTACCCAATCCAAAACACTCCCTCTTTGGGATATTTTGGTTTCCTCTTCATCCTTGCTTCTCTTTGTCCCCAAAACCCATGTCTGTACTGACAATAACATCCAAAACTGATAGGAAGGATCCCTGTGTCTTATTGTGCTTGCATCTCCTTGGCTTCTAACTCCAAGCAAAGCAATAAAGATACTTTTGAGGCATGACATCTCCCTGTCATTCTCTGTTAGAAGTGGAGATGCACATGGGACTTGTGTAGTTGCAATTGAGCCCTAAGGGCAAATGTCAGCAATGAGGACTAATTAAAAGCAGAAAAGACTTACAATGTTCATGTACAAAGGAGGTGCACTCCCACCAGCTCTCATTTACAGCACCACACTGGCCATAATGCAGTTTGTAGCGGGTCCAATTTTCTTCTTCCTCCAGGCAAACATTTTTTTCAGCTCCCCCCTGAAGCTGTCATGGAGCCAGGCATAGAGGAAGGCATTGGTACAAGCAGACATCATTGCAAACCAGTGACACAGCAGCTGGATGAAGTTGAAGTACTGCTTGTCAATCAAGCTGATGTCAATGTCCTTGATCATGTTGAAGATGTGCAGGGGCAGCCAACAGACTCCAAAAGCTGCCACCACTAAGACCAGCAAGCGAAAAGTCTTTCTCCTCCTGGCACGGTCCCACTCAGCTTGGCCCTGGGTGACATTGCCTGGGACGACACGGTTCTTCAGCTTGACTGAGATCCTCAGGTAGGACAGGGAGATGACAGCCAAAGGCAATACATAGGTGATGATGAGGGTGCTGTAGGCATAAGCCAAGCGATCTCTTTTCATGTGGAACCAAAACTCCTCGCAGATGGAGAAGTCCAGCTCAGGGAACTCTGCATGGTAGGTGTGCACCAAGGCTGGGGCAGCCAAAGTGCAGCTCAGCAGCCAAATAGCAGCCAGGATGTAAGCACAGATGGGGATGGTGAGCCTCCTGCGGAACGGGTACACTGTGGCACAGTACCTGTCCACAGCTATGACAGTCAGGGTGAAGACAGACACAAACACCGTGACAGGTTGCATCAGGAAAACAAAGTAGCACATGAAGCGCCCATAAACCCAGCCCCGGGGCTCAAAGGCGTAGGCCAGGGTCAGGGGCACACAGGTGGCACACATAAGCATGTCTGAGAAAGCCAGATTGCCTACCAGAAAGTTGGTGACGTTGTGCATTTTTTTTGTCTTGCAGATGACATAGATGAGAAGGTAATTCCCAATGACACCAATAAAAACCACCAGCGAGTAGCAGGGGATGATGAGTGGCTTGAAGGACTGAACAAACTGAAGCCCTGAGAATAAATTGCTGGTGTTGCTGTGAATCGCAGAGAGGAAGCTTTGGGAGGTTAAATTGTCCGAATTCATCATTTTCCTCCTTTTGTTGTCTGCCCGTCGGCTGAGTGAAGTAGTTAGCACTGCGCTGCTCCTGCACTCAATCAGTGGGGTAATGAATGGATCACTGGCTGTCCAGAGGTTGCCACATGGATAGTAAACAAGCAGCTGTAAATGCAAAAGGTGAACTTGTAACCCTCGAGAGGCAGCTTTCAGCAAATCCTAAGAAAAAATCAAATACAACCAATTTCCATTAAAGTCCTCCTGTATTTACTATTAAATCTAGCTTTTGACAGCATGCCACTTAATAAACATTTAATGCAGTGAGTACTTACTGCTGGGGGTTTTTAATCCCATATGATTTTCCTGTGGATGCCAAGAAGTGCCCTAGATGTCTGTCTTCTGCAAATCCAGGAGCGTGTATGTGTGTGTGTGTGTCAGAGAGAAAGAGAGAGAGAGAGAGAGAGAGAGAGAGAGAATATATGAGTGAGAAAGAGGGCGATGTGCATTTACAAGCTAAGTGGAGATCACTGTTTTTAAACAGTCTTCACTACTAGGTCATGACAGATTTATGTATAAGCTTTTATCCCCATTGGCTGCCCTGGGTATTACGTTGGTCTCTGTGTGTTTTTTACTGATAGTAATTAGTTCTAGAATATCCTTTCAAAAATTCTCCTCTCCTTCCAGTGCATCTATAATTGCCCCTCACATCTAAAAATCAATTTAGTTTCATTAACATGGACCTGCACAGTATCTAATCCTAGATTAGATTTTCCAGAGCCCCCAGAGTGTCCAAAAATACTACCTGTAATTTTGTTGCTATAATGTGACTGTAAAATAGAATTTTAATCACATGCTGAAGGCAAATAAATGTTTATGCCACTAGAGGGTCTCAGCTATGTACCTGTGAATGAAGTTAGGATTAGAAATGTGCATTTAGCTTGTTGCACAAAGGATCTTATTCTACTTAAATTTATTTTCCACTGGTGGTACAATGTTTACTCACCCACTATGGCTATGTTCAGTAGAATTTACACATCTTTAAAAGTAAACAAACACGTATGAGCATCTCTAAGGAAATATTAGCATCCAAATAGGTTAGATGTAAGGGTTTACCTACAGAGAATTACAGCAAACTTCTACTAGTATTTCAGCTACCCAAAAATATTGGGGGGGGTTTCGTCACTCCTGAATTAGATTTATTAACCTTTTCTATACCAGACAAATGTTAACTGGTCAGTAAAACAATCTATAGTTGTTTTGCTTGCTTCAATTAGAAAGCAGAAAAATCAGGATAAGTGCTTACAGAACATTTGCTTAGACATCCCCATCCAGCTCTTGTCTATTGCTTTAATTCTAATTTAACTCTTCCTCATTTCAACCAGGACTGGGATCTCATCAGGTGAAAAACAGTGAAAATCCACTGCATCCATTTGTACTGGCTAGAGAAACTAAAAAAATCTATGGAGCAGCCTAACTTCTGAATGCTTCAGAGCAGACGATATTATTAGGTTCTGAAAGACACTCAGGGGATTTAGACACAATTTTAAATGACAGCTTGTGTCCTAGTCAGTAATACTAAGGAAATATTAACCCATTATTTTTTAGGAGGCTATGGGCAGAACCATACCCTTTTGATTTGATGTCATTTGATGTAAATCAGAAGCTTAAATAGACTTAATTTTTGTCCTACTCCTTTCTCTAATCCTAAAACAGAAGTTAACTTGTGTATCCCTTGTTCTGATTAGAGATCTTCTGCTTGTGAAGGATGGGAAATTCAAGCATGGAAAGTGCTGGCTCTGTGCTGCAGCATCCAGGGTTAGATTGTGCCATGGACTGGAATATAGCTGTAATTCCAGCCTGAGGGGAGAACGAGCATGTGACCCCATTGCTCAGGTGTCATCATTCACTGCATGGCTATCGTCACCTAGCCACGACCCAGACTAAAAATGGGATGTTATGACCCACTTCAGAGCCCAATCTGTCCTTTCTGAGCTGTATGGAACTTGAGGGAATGCAGTACCTGTTTATCTCTACATACCCAAATCCAGAACAGGAGAGGGACCTGAGGGGAGAGGTTGCAAAGAGGAAAGGAGATAGGAAAATCCTACTGCTCTCACCACCCAGTGCAGCCACACTGCTTGGTGCTAGGCAGCATGCTGCAGAATTCCCAAAACCCGTCAATTCAATTGGTCCATTTAATGGGGAGAAAAGCACGGCCTGGTTAAAGTAGGATTGCAGTAGACTTCGTACATGGCCCCTTGTAGAAGCCAAAACATAGAAAAATTGAGGGGGGCATATGTAAAAGGCTTTCATACTGCCCACATCCTACTGGAATGACAAGGCTTGTGTGAGGAAAGAAGCCTCACAATAATATCATTGCACATGAAATAATTGAAAATTTCATTTTAACTAAGTGAATTTTTTCTTTCATTCCCAAGAGCTGCAGAGTAGATCCAGTAGATATTGTATTCCTATGAGGAAAAAGGTTAACTCTTCCCTGTGTGGGAAAAATCAAACAGTATCTTCTCAAGACGTCTTCAAGGTCACCTTAATGCTCAGGTCACAAAACTAACCTTATATATTTTTTTCTTTTAAGCTGTACCAGGCAATGTTCCTGCATATTCCCTTGCTTTTAAATTTATTTTCTTCACCTCTGAAAACAGTAACCGATACACCTTTTGTTTGAAGGCTCCCACCTATTTCTCTTAGTGATTTTCTGTTTGTTTTGGCTTCAGGCAGAAAATGTCTTCAGTTCAGCTGTATGCCACAGCCAAGTCTGGAAAGATAATATTTAATAAGGGCTTGAATAGAAAAAGTATTCTAGCAATTCATCCCAAGGAAATAATCTTCTGTCCTTCTAAAACTGCAAATATTAATTTTGTTTAGAATTTCCAAGGCTATCTGACACAGTCCTTCCTGAACAGGCTGTAAGTCCTTTTCACATGCAGAATTTCCTCATTAAAAGAGAAAAGGTCACAGAAACTGCATTACTGCCATATTAGAACTATTTTGACATTCCAGGTGTGTGAGGGTGTCACACACAGGAATGGTGATGAGTGTCTGGTTGAAGCCCTGGTTGTCCTTGATGTTATGTTACATTTAGAGCCAGACCAACACTTCACAGAAATGTCTCACAGCTGAGCTTTCATAATCTCTTATGCTAACCTGCCCAGCTCCACACAGAAACTCTGAGTACAAACATTGGAAATTGCTTTAAGGCTTTACAAGCCATAACTTTTTTTTTTTCTGTCATTAAAGTCTCACAGTTTCCGCTGTTAGTTTTCCATGTTCTTGTTTATTTGTTTTTTTGGGTTTTTTTTTCCATAAACCACAACTTTTTTATGCATCACAGATCTACTTTAAAAATTCTTTCACATTCTTACAGGAATGTTCTGTGCAGAACATCTCAGGTAATACTTGCAGAGCCTATAATAAAAACAGATTATTTGCATATTTTGAATGATGTCAGGCTGGGGATTCCTTTACCAAATTCTTCTTTTGGCCTGCCAGGGAACAAGATTTTATTTCACACAACAATTTCAAGTCAGGGAAGCTTGTCCTTTGCCGATTTTAGCTTATAAATGCATCCTGTCTGTCCCTGCTGTGGACTGAGACATCACAGTCCCTAAACTCTAAGAGCCATGTTTACATCTAAGGTCTAAACTCTAAGAGCCATGTTTACATCTAAGGGGGGGATTTTTTTGCTGTTGTTGTTTTGGGGATTTTTTTGTTGGCTAGGAGTTTCCTGGTTGTTGCTGCTGCTTTTCTCAAATTCAAGGCATCAAACTTTGATAAACACAAGATTTAGATTAAAATAGTTCACTGTAGATGAAAAAGAGTACATAAAGAGGAAATCCTGTAGTCTGATAACAGTTTTATAGGAGATTTTAGACTAGATTTAAGGACAGAAGAAACACACCTCTGTCCTTAGAGTAGACAGAAGAGAGAGAGTAGACAGAACAGGTCACCAAAGGAAGATTTTGTGAAATTAACTTTCCATCTATGTTTTTAAAATTATTTTCTCAATATAGAATATGTAGCAGTTCTCAGTTTGTGTAACTTATGAGAAACCATCCTCTATACCAGAGGAAATATCCTAAGAACTGTGAGGCAAGCAAAGAACAGCAGTGTGTAGGAAGAAATTGGACCAGAAGACAGCAACTATTCGTGATGCTCAGGAACCTTGTTTAGGACTGACCAGCCTTGGTAGCTCTTTTAATTTTACCCTGTTAGCACAAAAAGCAGGGCTGCACCAAGTAAATTTGGTAGAAACACCAAGTTTGGAATCAGAGATGACATACCAGACAACTGCAAAATTAAGCAGTGAAACTTTGAAAGCCTAAGGGAGAGCAGAAGAAAAACCAGTCATAAAAGACAAAATCAAGGTCATCATAATAATAATTTTCGCTGTGGCTTAGGACAAAGCAAATTGTCTCATGGGTCTATAGAAAGGAGCAGGCAGTGCATTTGAAATGCAAACAAAAGAAAATCTACTGCTCTGTGAGAGTCTCAGGCTGAATTTACCTCTACTTTCCTACAACCTCTGGACAATTTTGTTCTTATAAGTGTCTATTCACCAGAGCAGAATTGCACTGTATTCTTTAAAAGCACTGGGGAGGATGGTAAACTCCAGGGCAGGAAAACACACATTTACAGAAAGGAATAATGTTGATGAAAGAACAAATTCACTTTGGGCAAATTTAGGATGAAAAGTAGAACACTTCTAGGTTGGAGGGCAATAAATTACCCCTTGTAATTGTTTGCCTTTTGAACAACCAGTGTATTATGGGGGATAAAAGCATCCATGTGGATGGATTCCCTGCATGGGGCATGGGTTTCAGGAGGTTCCTTTCCATCCTTCATCAACACAGGCTTTGGTCTGAACTCACTCCTACTTGAAAATTATTCCACTATCATCTTTTTCAGGAGTGTTCCTATTGATAAGAGGAAGATAGAATTCAAAAGGTAGAATTAAAATTTATATACCTGCACACCTACATGGGCACAGCTCACTTTCAGTCTTACTATGTTCATAGTATTCTCTGTCATTTTCCAATGGGGAGGTTGTCGCAGTACTGCCTGTGAACAGCACTAGAAACGCACTTAAATATTTTCCAGACAAACTTTCCCTGTTTCTGGTCTGAGCAGCTTATTTACAAAGCAGGGAGAAAGGCAAGGTCAGCACAGGCACTCTGTAAAATCATTTCAGCCACAAGGAACTTCAGCCAGTACAATCACTGATTCTTCTTTATTTGATCTGCCATCCTACAAAATTACTGCTGAGAGACTTGATACAAGCAGCCCTGATTCCTCCACATCCCCAAAACCTTAAAATTTTCTTTCTCAGCCAAACACATGCAGGAATTAATGAAAAAGAAAAGCTAATTTTTTTAAATGTTGGGTTTTAGTGTGCAGTTATGAGGGAT